AAGAATGTCAAGATGCACGCGCAGAGAAGGACAGGTTGCCCCGATATCTTGCCTCTCGCACCGTTGCCAAACCCCAACATGTACTATAGATACTGAGTCTATCTTATATGTCTATGGTCTATAGTTTTAGTCCTAACAGAATATGCCAATCAGATGCAAAAGCTCACTGAGCGCTCAGTGAGCGGTTATAGAACTGAATGCACCAAATGATGTCTTGATCCCTTGTGTTGATCTCGCACCACAAATAGCACACCGTGCCATAAGTAACAGTTCGATTTCGCGTTCATGTCTTTCTGTACTACTACACCATAACAAGTTGCTCTCACCAATTCACAGATTCACTTCCTCATCGAAAAGGGCCTACAAATGGCGGCGTCCAATCAGAGACGACCATCATAAAATCGGATGCAGTGTGAATCCAGCAACTCTCTTTGTTAGGCCCCGCGCACAATGGAGGAAATATTAGGAACAGGAATAGATATTAAGATTTCAACCTATCAGAAACAATTTATTCCGGTGTAACTGGTATCTGATAGGTTAAAATCTCAATATCTATTCCTGTTCCTAATATTTCCTCCATTGTGCGCAGGGCCTTACATTCAACTGTCTCTCTACTTTTCTTTTTTTTCACACCTACTTCCTCTCCCTCACTCTTTCCTCGTCAAAAAGAGAAAGTTACACGGCATCAAAGAGTAAAGAGAAACAGGAGGGAATGTTTGGTTCTAAGCAAGCATATTATAATTGATCATGAAGATTACATTATGAAAGATTTTATTTCTTTTATTACCATTTTATATATGTTTTAATTTGTGTGATGAAATAAAGTAATATAAATTATCCACAATTAGATTATCTCCATGTACTAATTTCGGATCAATTTACCAAACGCTTTATCTTTTTTGGTGGCATTACTACATTTCATAAAAATAATAAAAATGATTTGCCCATGGATATCGTAATACTAGAGCACTAGAAACGTAGGTATTCGCGTCTACCATTTTTACTCCTTTCCCCATTATTTGTTCTCTCTTCAACCTTCTCTCTTCTCTCTTCAATCTTCTTAGTTTAGCGGCGAAATGGAGAGAGAGCGAGGAATTGAAAAAAGGAGCAAGAGAGTGAGAATAGGACTAAAAACGGCGGATGCGAATACTCATGTTTATAGTGCCTTAGCCCGGATCCTCATACAGGCAACAGCGCTTTGACACAGAACGCTAATTGGTGAAAAGCCGGTTGTGGAGGTAAAATTTACCCCCATCACCCGTTTTTCACCAATCAGCGTTCAGTGTCAAAGCGCTGTTGCCCGTATGAGGATCCGGGCTAAGTAATACATTTAACTAGAGTCCCTATAATAAGAATCAAGACATAAGACCGGAGGATGCCATTGCTGGGCGCCGGCCGGAAACAACACAAATAACGCGTAACACAAATAGACGCGTTCGCGCCTGTTTGTACTACTACACCATAAAACAGTTGCTCACGCCAATTCACAGATTCATTAACACATCGAAAGCGCCCAGAAATGGCGGCGACCAATCACGAGGGCGTCGCCCCTCATGTCTTGTCTCTTATTATAGGGACTCTAGTCCCATGGACGTCTCTAGGACATCTGTGCTGTGTTGGAAATTTTCAACAGGTGGCATCCAGTTGGACACGGCTCAATTGGACACGAGCTACTCACAGCGCTTGAGAAAAGCTCCTAGGCACCTGGTCGCTGTGATTGGTGGTGTCCAATCGAGCCGTGATCAATCGGGATCACCCCGTTCAATTGAACTGCACAATTTCTCTCAGGACCATATTGAACAAATGTATCATAACTATACATAATTATACATAGGTGTTCGTGGATCATGGAAGTGCAGCGGTTTCCATACGATTTTTTAGAAGTCATGGATAGTAGGTGGCGGTATGCAACCAGATGGGTGACCGTTTCGAAGCACTATGAAATTAGTTCCCGAATTCAGGGAAAAACGTTTTTTTTTTTATAATAATTTTATGATGTGTATTCTGGAATAAGATATTAATCAATAATACTCATATAATAATCATTTTATCTTGATTGTGGTCTAAAATTTGTTTAATATATTAATTTAGTCGTTTTAGTTCATTGCGACCTAAAATGGACGTTTTTAAGAAGTCCAAAATAATAACACTGGATGTCTTTAAAACGTTTTTAAAATATCCATGGATCTAATCTGGATGTTTTTAATATGTCCAAAACGTCTAACGTGTACGTTTTAAATACATTTTTAAAACGTTACTGTGCTGTCTGAGGTATTCATCTTTGACTATATACCTCTGGACTGCTAACGGTAGCCATTACTGGAATCCAAGATCTCAGAGCC